AATGAGCCTAATTTTTGTAAACACGCTACCTTTAAGAGGTTTTCTTGTTTACTTCTTCTAACCTTTTGTAAAGGGGATTGATTCTAGCTTAGCCTTTGAAAAGCTAGGGAGTTGTAAATGTTATCTCTTTGTCCTGTAAAAAGAGAGAACAAATTAGTGAATTTGTTAGAAAATCCTAAGTGGGGAGCTTAGGTAGTGGATGTAGACTTGGTTGAGTAGTCGAACCGCTATAAATCCTTATGCAAATTGTTTCATCTTTATACTCCTTACTCGCTAAACTCAAAAAGCCAATTCACTCTATTTTAGCAAATTACTCGGTTGATCAATTTGAGCTCATCGAATCCCAACAGTTGGTATTAGAGCTTGACTCATTAGAAGGTTTAACAACCTTGAGACTATTCTTGAAGAAGCTCTATCGATTCCCGACACAATCGATAAGATGGCTTCAACCTCCGGTTCCTACAACATTGAAGACTCTAAACCGGTCAACAAGTCACCTTATTTCAATGGAGCAAATTATGTCTATTGGAAGAATAAGATGATGCTCTTCATTCAAGCCAACAATCTAGGAGCTTGGAACTCAATCATGAAATGATACTCCATTCCAACCGATGATATGGATGATTGGTGTGATGGAGAGAAAAAGAAGTTCCAACTAAATGCAAAGGCTATGCACATTCTATTTTGTGCATTAGGTCTAGATGAATATGGAAGAATATCCTCTTGTTCAAATGCCAAAGAGATATGGGATAAGCTCCAAGTCACTCATGAAGGAACCAATGAAGTGAAGGAAACCATAATTAGTCTTATCAACCATAGCTATGAGAATTTCAAGATGAAACTGATGAAGACATTAAAGCTATGACGGATATATTTTTCATGTTTGTCAACGGTCTCAAGGGATTTGGAGAAGTGATCCCTAATGAGATGCTTATGAGGAAGATGCTCTACTCTCTCCCAAAGTCTTGGCAATAAAAAAAGATGACAATTATCGAAGCTAAGAACCTAAAGTCACTCACTCTTGATGAGCTTATTGGTTCTCTTCTCATTCATGAGTTGATGGTAAAGAAAGAAGAAGAATATGAAGAAAAGAAAATTAAGAAGAAGGAGGTAGACATTGCTTTCAAATCCACCAATGAGAGTAATCAAGACTCAAGTGAAGAGGTGGATGAAGGTGATGATGAAGAAGAAGAGATGACCAAGCTCTTCAAAAGATTCAAAAGATTCACGAATTCTAAGGAATTGAAGCATGAATCAAGCAAAAAGAAAGGTCCTCCAGTGTGCTTTGAATGTTAAAGAAATGGGCATGTCAAGTATGATTGTCCCTTCCTAAAGAAGAAGGCATCTGTGGCTGCTTGGAGTGATGAAGATGACTCCAATGATGAAGATGAAGTAATCAATCTATGCCTCATGGCCATCGAAGAAGATTCAATGGTAACTTCTAGCTCTAGTAAATTAAATTCTTATTCTTTTATTGAGTTACAAGTTGCCTATGATGAATTGTATTTGGAATTTGAAACCATGAATTCCAAATATAAGAAATTGATTTCAAAATTCAAAGTTGAAAATGATTTTCTTTTGAAAGCAAAATTAGATTTTTGAAAATGAAAATGAAATTTTGAAAAATGATTTTGAGCTTTCAAAAACCAAAATTGAAGATTTGGAAAAAGAAAATCTAGAATTGAAAGTTACGCTTGAAAGCTTAACAAAAGAAAAAGAAAGCATTTTGAAAAACAATTCATCTATGTTAAAAATGGCAAAATGCTCACATTGTCATTTTCATGGTCATATGGAACATACTTGTCCTTTAAAGAAAGGAAAATGTTTTAAAATTAAACAATTATGTATTCCTAAAGGAACAAGGGACATTGAAATTAACAGTCAATGATCCAAAGTAATTTGGATACCAAAATCCATATAAATGTCTCTTGTAGGTGTGTGGGAGCAATGGTGATGAAAGTGAAGATATTCAAATGCTCTAGCCACACTTGATATGGAATGGGTAACCTCTAAGCTTATTTTGATTATCTTGCATAATTGGTTGCTTATTTAGTTTAAGCATGCATGAGTTTTGATTTTAAATGATTTACATTTTCTATCTCATGTATGTTAAAAAGAATTGTGATGAACATTTTCTAAAGTTTTAATGATTGCACATGCACCTAAATGCAAAAATTGATATTGCATAAATTATATTAGACTTGGATATACTGAATTTCATGTGATACTAGCATGTTTGTTCATCTTTGTTGAAATTCAATTTTTTTAAGTGTCAAACTTTTAAAGTCAATTTTTTTTTGGAAAGCTTTTATTAAGGGGGGCATTGATTTTTCAAATGATTTTATGCTAAAATTTACTACTTACTCTCCATTGTTATTTTTGAACTTTAAAGTTGATTTTTTTTATATAACAAAAAGGGGGAGAAATATGAGTTTGAAAAATTCAATTTCAAGAATGAAAAAGGGGAGCTTTAATATTTTACAAAATATGACTCTTTTTCATTAAATGTTTTATTAAAGGGAAGTTTTGCCAAAATAATTTTTCAAATGTTTTATTATATCAAAAAGGGGGAGATTGTTGAACCATGTTTTATAATATTTTGATGTAACAAATTAAGACAAAATGTTTTTGGACTTGATTGAATTTGTTCAAAGTTTTCAAAAATAATTCAAAGTTCATTAAACTAGAATTTGAACAAAAAATTATTTTCTGGGTTCGTAGTACCGATACTATTCTTACAGTATCGATACTCTCTAGGTACCGATACCAAACAATATCAATATTGTTCATGTGGTACCGATACCAAATGTAAGAAAAGTATCGATACTCTCTAGGTAGTATCGGTTGTTTTTCAAACGGCTCAAATTTCAGAATGCAAAATAGGTACCGATACCCAATGGGCTACCGATACTACTTTACACAATGGTATCGATACCATGAACCATAATATCGATACTGGTAAAGCCCAACGGTCTTTAACGACTAGTTTATTTAAATATTACAAAGGTAGTACCGATACTCTTTAAAGGGGTACCGATACTCCCTGTCTTGGGCAATTTAATTTTGCAGAAAATTAATCTCCAATGGCTTTAAAACATCCCCAATGGCTAGAAACAGCCACAAACTCATTCCAACATATAAAAATAAGTTGATGACACTTGAAGAAGGTTACACAACACCTGTCCAAGCAACCAAACACAAGAGAAGAACTTTTCATTCTTATTGTCCTCTCTTGTAAATATTAGTGTTTTAGTGAGCCTAATTTTTGTGAACACCCTACCTTTGAGAGGCTTTCTTGTTTACTTCTTCTAACCTTTTGTAAAGGGAATTGGTTCTAGCTTAACCTTTGAAAAGCTAGGGAGTTGTAAAGGTTATCTCTTTGTCCTAGAAAAAAGAAAGAACAAATTAGTGAATTTGTTAGAAAATCCTAAGTGAGGAGCTTAGGTAGTGGATGTAGACTTTGTTGAGAAGTCGAACTACTATAAATCTTTGTGCAAATTATTTTATCTTTATACTCTTTACTCCCTAAACTCAAAATGTTAATTCACCGCCTCTTGACAAATTATTCGGTTGATCAATTTAAGCTTCATCGAATCCTAACATATTTAAAATAATTAAATCAAATTAATTCAACCATAAATTCTAATAATCGATAATCAAGCGATAAATTCGATTTAACCACGTGAACTATCTAAGTGAGTTGTACTCTCCAACACGTGGGATTCATTTCATTTTCCTTTGTCTTATTTCATAAATAAGTACTTAAAGTATAATGTCTTCTTCATTTAAATATCTAAAGTATTTTTTGGTCAAACTAAATACTTAAAATTATCTTTTTGATCAAAATAGGTACCTAAAGTATTTTATGTCAAAATAGGTGCCTAAACTATTCAAACCTTTTCATTTAAGTTCTAAAAAATTGACATGTGACATTAATTAAAGAATACTTTAGATACTTAGATGAAAAAATTGAATACTTTAGGTACCTATTTTGACCAAAAAATACTTTAGGTATTTTGACCAAAAATACTTTAAGTACTTAAATAAAAAAAGATGGTATACTTTAGATACTTATTAATTATATAAGCCTTTTCCTTTTGAGTGAACTACTCAATATTCTTTTTTTTTTGTGGTTTCATTTCGATCCCATAATTATTATCTTTTAAAATTATATTTGACATTATATTTTGATTTTATTTCTATTATCCACTGTTAAAAGATTAATGGAGTTGTCCACGTGATAATTTTATATTTTTCAATTATGGTCACATGTCAGTATCATCATTAATTTTTTAACGATGAGTGATCAAAATATAAAATTAAATATGATTTAAAAAAACATAAAGTACATAAATGGTCTCCCAAGGATATTACTTTATTAAGTCCTCAGACTATTAAAAGTTACAAAATGGTCCTTTAACTATAGGGAATTACTTTGTTGAGTCCCTTGACTATTAAAAGTTACAAAATGGTTACTCGATTATTCATTATGTTCCAAACTCATCCTTTTTTCGTTAAACATTTGATGACAAAATGAGTTATACGTTACCCCGCTGACTAAGATATGATAAAATCTGATCTCATAATCTCAAACGACTATCATATCTCAATCAGTATGTTAACGCCCGACTCATATGACCATTAATTTTTTTAACAAAAAGGATGATTTTTGAACATACTGAATTGTTGAGTGATAATTTTGTAACTTTTAATAGTAAATGGACCCAACAAAGCAACTCCCTATGGTCGAGGGACCATTTTATGAATTTTAATAGTCAAATGACTCAATAAAGCAATATCTTATAGTTAAGAGATTATTTCTTTAACAAAATAATTGAGGAACCAAAATGAAACCGTGAAAATAGCTACGTGACTAGATACGTAGTTTACCATTTCTTTTTTGGGGTGTGGATAATGCAGAAATGGGCTTAAAATGAACCCAGTTTGATATTAAATTACCCAATAATATATCAGCCTATTATTTACAGCAAGACGGAGCTTTTGAAGAAGAAAAATCACAGGCCGATGCTAAGGTGTGGATCACCACTATTACAAGCCCTGAGGATGCTATCATCTTCACCATCGTCTTCCCTCATTCTCTGTAACCCTAAACTTAACCACCTTCCCTCTTCTCCTAAACCCTACTCTATTCTCTCCCTCTCCTCTCCTCTCTGTGCTTCTTGCGCTTCCTTTGACACCCAGAGGATGACTCTGTCCAAGCGCTTCACTGCCGCCTCAGCTGACCCGATTCCCACTTCGGATCCGCTTCGACCCCATTCGTCGGATTTGACGGGATCCGAATCCCAATCACTCGTCGTCGTCTCCTTCTACAAGTTTGCCGATTTCCCAGACCATGCTGATTTGCGCAAACCCTTGAAGCTGCTCTGCCAGTACCTGGTATTCCTCATTTCTTCGTTCTCTATTGTTGTTGTGCTTTTACCCTTTATCCTTTTGTAAGTATTGGTTCTTCATATGTTTTGAGAAAATGCTGGTTGATATTTAGGAGTTCTATTTTCCAGCTTTTTTTTTTAATTATCATAGAATGCCAAATGATAATACTTTTTTTAGATTAGCTAAGTAGGAGTGAAGAAAACTCGACTCGAAAAAATTGGATTTTTCAAATAGACACTGAAAACTTGAATCGTAATAGCATAAATTCAACTTGACTAAAACAATTGTTTTTTTTTACTCACACTAAAAAACTTGATTCATGATATATATATATATATCACGCATGAAAAAGAATATGAAGAAATATATAGGTATATATTAATATGCTTATAGAAAACTGTTTAAATTAGAATCAAATAGTACCATAATATTATAAATATTTACAATTAAATTTAAGCATAAACTCGAGCAACTTGAATCCAACCGACTCAACAAAATTTCAAATAAAGTTTGAGTTATAAAATATGACTCGTCAACTCGAATAACTTAATTTTTTTCCTTGTCTCGATCGAATGCTGACTCCTAGCTGTAAGAAACATATTTAGTTGTTATGCTCACTTATATATTATTATTGGCATTGTGTTTTCTCATACCTTGACATTTTAAATCTATGCAACTTTATGCGTTCATCCCATTCATGGCTTACAAGTTGATCCCATCAGTTTGTTTCAGGTGGTATCATTCTAGCCCCTGAAGGGATCAATGGAAGCATTTGTGGCATGCGTGAATCGGTGGAAAGAGTCCTTGGTTTCATCCAATCCGATGACCGTTTAAAGGGGTTAAGGCAGATAGAATCCCCGGTTAGTGCCGAGCAGGAAGCTATCCATCATGGACACTCTACTAGCTCTCCTCTTGCAGCAGGTGAGGATGCACCCTTCCGATGGGACCATGTGCGAGTGAAGTTGAAGAAAGAGGTATTTTCTTTTTAAGCAAAGCAGTGATTTTGTTATTTTTCAGTCTATGTTTTAACAGTGTTTCCATGTACATGTTTTAAACAGATTGTCACTCTTGGAATGCCGGATGTATCACCTATTGAAAAGGTTGGAAGGTATGTTAGCCCAAAGGATTGGAATGCTTTGATCAGCGATCCGGATACTGTGAGTAACTGAACTATTTTACAGTTTTCGGTCATCTATTATGATATACTCATTTTCAGTATTTCACTTATCATTATTTACCGTTTGAAGTTCAAACTGGTTTTCGGACACTCCGCTTCGTCTTCAAGCATTGCTCTTTCTATCTGATTATTTAGAGACCTCGCGAGCTATATTCCTTTAGTTTAACGTTTGAGTCAGCAAGTTCTTGCATAGCATGATGATATTTGTTCATCTGTTGTGGCATAATGAAATAGTATTGGTAGCATTCTAGAGTTCCTATCTCTTACTGAGGTTGATCTTGTTCGAGTGAAATAGAATTGGGTTTAAGTTCTTCCTGGAAAATCATAATTTTGTTTTGATATTAAGAAAGCAAGCGTGAAAAGGTAAGATATTCATTTTTTGTTCCTTAAGTACTTTGATTATGGAGCTTATTGTTTATTTTACTTATATATTTTAGGTTGTAATCGACGTTCGCAATAACTATGAAACTAGAATCGGGATGTTCAAAGGAGCAGTTGATCCATGCACGGCAGCGTTCCGCGAGTTCCCATCTTGGGTGGAGGATCAATTCCAACCTGATGATGCAGATGTAGAGCATGAAAAAGTGAAGGAAGGATCAAATGAAAGCATAACTAAAGATGCAGAGAGTCCAAAACAAAAAATGCCAAAGCGGGTTGCAATGTACTGCACAGGAGGTATTCGATGTGAGAAGGCTTCGAGCTTTATGCTCAGCAAAGGTTTCGACGAGGTGTTTTTCCTATTGGTCCCTATAGTGTTTAGTGATTCATAAAGTTAATATTAGGAATTGATTCTGAATGTCTATCTGAAGTAGTATAGATAACTTCATTAATCAACATTCAACCAAGATAAGATGCCATTTTGCTTTATTGAGTTGTGAAAGTGAACATTCTTTTATCAGGTCTATCACTTGAAAGGTGGGATTTTGAAGTACCTAGAGGAAATCCCGAGAACGGAAAGCCTGTGGGAGGGTGAGTGTTTTGTGTTCGACAAGCGAGTCGCGGTTGAGCATGGTCTGATACAAGGAAATTTCAAGCTTTGCTATGGTTGTAAGCAGCCTGTTAGTGATGCTGACATGGAAGCGCCGGAGTGGGAGTATGGGGTGTCGTGTCCCTACTGTTATTCGACGAAGTCTGAAGAGGAGAAAGAGAGAGCAAGGGCACGACAGAGGCAGTTCGAGGCTTGGGGAATTATTGGCGGTCCCGATAAAGGTCGACGACCAGCAGCAAAGCCAGACAGTATAAAGACTGACCAGACCAATGATTCAGCTTCAGGTTAGCTGGTTGGAAATCGAGTCTATTTTGCGGATGCACTAGTTAGTTTGTGATTGACTGGAGGATTATGTCCGACATTTTTGTAACCAAGGAATGCACAAAGTTAGAGTTGAGGTTGCGGAGGGAAAGGCAAAGAAATTTGCAGAGATGAAGACATATTTCGAGTTGGAATTTCACCTCTGTCCCTGCCTCGTGCTTTAATATTATCTGGTTTACTGTATAATCAAATCTAATCTTAAGCTAAGTTGTCTTATGTAATGCAAGTTTAAAATCCCCAAGACCTTTTTCTCCACAATTACTGCTGGGATAAGGTTTAATATAAGGTGAGTGTTTGATCGAGTCAAGTCAATTTTAAGTTATTTGAGTTGATGAGTCTTATTTTATAATTCAAATTTTACAAATTTTTTTAAGTCGAGTTTATAAAATTTGAGTTGGTTTGACTTGTTTGAGTTTATATTTAAATTTAATTATAAATATTTATAATATTATGATACCATTTGATTTCAGATTAAAAGATTTTCTATAGTCATAATATATATATATATATATATCATATAGAGTTGAGGGATTCAACTCAAATTTGAAAATCAATCCACTAACTATTCAAAATTTTGAGTTATTCAAGTTCTATTTTATAACTTCATTCAATATTTTTGTAAATATTTAGTCGAGTTTATAAAAATCACGATTTGAGTTAATTTGAGTTGAATTTTATGAATTAAAAAGATTAATTTTTGAGCCAAATCAAATTTTGTTCATCTATGTATATTTATATACGTTGCATATAGATTTTGATTCCAATCTAAAATACTTATTAATCATAAGAAATAATAATTCAAATTTAAAATAATTTAAAGGCACAAAACAATTTGAATCTGTAATAATTCAATTTGGAACTTAAATCAAATAATTCAGGTTTAATGGTAAAAAAATATCTTCTAATAAAAAAATAAAAAATAATTAGTTTAAAGTGAAAGTTTTGCACTAAATTAGATTTTCGTCAGCGAAAAAACTCAATCAAATTATTTTATTGATGATTTTCATTAATTGATAAATTTAACTTCAAGAATCCTAAGTGATGTTTCATAATGATTTATTTAAAAGTATCATATTAGAAAATAATAATATTCTCATTCATGATATATATACGTGTTTGTTTTTAATGAATATATATATATATATATCATATAATAAAATAATAATATTCTCATTCATGATAATATATATGTTTGTTATTAATGAATATATATATATATACACACATTTCAAAAAAGTTCTGCGAAATTGTCTCTTCGGCCGGTGCCGTAGAGGATGACATTTGGAAATTAGTGTGGAGGAACCTGTCACCCCCGAGAGTGGAAGCATTCACTTGGAAGGTGCTACATGTGAGAATTCCGATAGTGTTGAAATTGGCGAAACGTGGGATAGCAGCTTCCGAGACTCCTAGCTGCGCTTTCTGCTCCACCGAGATGGAAACTGGAGATCACCTCCTATGTCATTGCCAGATTTCTTGGTATTGTGGACCAAATGGTGGAAGATGTGGAATGTTCAAAAGATGCGATCCCTCGGGATGTCAGGTCTCTCTTTATCATGAAGGAATGGTCCGAATGGATGCCTTTCCCTGCTTCGTCGTATTCGATCTGGTGCATGGTTGTTTTCAGCATTCTTTGAACACTATGGCTGTGTAGAAATGAAATTGTTTTCAACCGTAAAAGCTTTGGGGTCGACCAGATTTTCGTTATAGCTTTACTAAGAATTGGTCATTAGGTTAAAAGTAAATGACCGATGTCAACTCCTCCTATTACCGATTTTGTTCGGAACCCTAGTGATGTGAACATTTCAACAATAAGACCGCGCAGGCGAAGGATAGGATCATGGGTAGCACCTAATCGGGATGGGTTGAAGTTCAGCATAAACGCGGCTGTTCGGGAAGTTTTGACAGAGCTGGAATCGGTGGGGTGCTCAGGGATCATGAGGGGAATATATTAATCCGTTTCTCTAAATCGATTGGAGTGTCGAGTCCACTCAAAGCGGAGCTGTTGGGCCTATGGGAAGCGTGCTGTATATTGGGCTCCTTTCCTTGGGCAGATTCAAAAGCTGTTGGGTTCAAGTCTGATTGTCAAATTACAGTAAGCTAGGTTAATATCCTTCCTCTGCCCTAGCGATGTTCCAGGAATGGGCAAAGAAGTGTTACTCGTGTAAAAGAAAGGACTGGGTCATGCGATTTGCTCATAGGGAGTAAAATTGTTTGGCTCATGTTTTACCAAGCCAAGGTATGTATATGCCTGTTGATTTTCTATTGATTTCGGAGGATTATATGAATTAGATTTATTTGCTGGCTAGCTGGGCTTTGTGTTGTTTCATGAGGGCAATCGATGTTTCTTTGTTGGTTTATTTGTGTTAGCAATATAGGTTGTTATGCAGTTGAGGATGTTAAAGAGTAGTTAGCAGGTTGTTTAGAGTCTGTTATGAGCGGTTATTGTTGCATGCAGTTATGCATGCATGCCTTGTGTGTGTAAGCTGATAATGTACATATATAAGCTTGGCTTAGTGCATGTGTAGAATAACAAGAAGGATAATACGTGTCTTGATAATATATTGTGTTTCTTTACATGGTATCATTCGCCATTCGTCTTGGAGAGTTTGCTGTTGCGTAGCTGGAATTAGTTCTTGCTTGAAGGGTTTGGTTCTTCGGCTAAAGATTGAATCAAGAAGCTACAAAATGTTCACAAATAAGAAAGTGAATGTGGTTCTTGATGAGACAATTTTTCTGCTGTGGAAACAGCAAATTCTTCTTACCGTGAGGAGCCATCGCCTCGAAGGGCTACTGACTGGAACAATGCGAGCTCCACCGGTGATGGTCACTAATAAACATGGTGTGTCGGTTGCTAATGAGCTTATGATGACTTTGTCGCTCAAGAAAGTATTGTAGCCTCCTGGCTTTTGTCCACTATTAGCGGCCACCTGCTCCCTCAGTTTGTTGGTGCAGAAACATCTACTGTAGTGTGGAGCATTGTCTTACAGTTTTTTGCTAATCGATCCACATCATTGATTATGAACTTACACTACAAATTACAGTCTCTTAGAAAGGGGGAAGATAGCATGAGGGTGTTCCTTACTCGAGTTAAGGAAGTGTGTGATACCTTGGCATCCTATAGTAGTCCAATTCCTGTTGTGGAACAGATTGCCAGCATTCTTAAAGGACTTCCAAGAGATTATCAACCGTTCAAGGTTGTTATAACGTCCAGTGGTGATTTTCTTCCTCTAGAGAGAGTGTACACTATATTGGTTGATGCTGAAACACAATTAGATGGATTTGTTGCCCAAGAAAAAAATGCTATTGCAAGTGCTCATTTTGCTCGTAGCACGATGAACAATGCTAGTGGTGATAATCATAATTCAACATACCGTTTCCAGCATGGTGGACGTTTGGCAGGACGTGGTCGAGGAAGACCACGTGTAAAGTGCCAACTTTGTGGCAAGATCAGGTACCTTGTCAATCGATGTTGGCATAGGTTTGATGAAACCTTCACTGGCATAGCTGTTGATGCTAGTAAGTTTTGTACTAAGCAGGAAACAACAAATGTAAATTTCACTACTGTGGAAAACCCGAACTGTGATTGCTGTCGTGTTAAGACGCGTGGAGTAACTCAGGCAGATGAGTCATCTTCTGCTCGTGCTGAGTTAGCGACTGGTTTGAATCAATAGGTGGTTGATTCGGGTGTTACATATCATGTTACACCCGAATCTAAGAATATCACTCAACGAGCTGAGCATTTTGGTCCAGGTAAGCTAGTTGTGGGTAATGGAATGTCTTTAGGAGTTAATATGGTTGGTAGTGCTGTTATATCATCATCATCTCATCAGCTTCTTTTGAATGATCTTTTATATGTATCTGGTGTAACAAACAACTTGCTTTCAGTTTTAAAGTATACTAGGGATAATGGAGTGTACTTCGAATTTCATGCTCATGGATGTAGAGTTCGTGACAGCTCTACGGGTGAAGTGTTACTGACAGGGAAGGTTAAAGATGACTTGTATGTGTTTTCAAAGGCTGGCTCATCAAGTGTTTGTGATAAGGCCTGAGTCAATATTGCCGATGTTAGTAATACTAGTTTGTATCACCTATGGCATAGGAGATTAGCACATGCCAGTTATAATACTATAGTGAAAGCATGTAAAGCAATTGATGTATCTTTTCCCTCCAATATGAATGAAAAATCTTATGCATGTTGTGTTGGAAAAAGTCACAAGTTGTCATTTCCTCATTTTACTTCTGTCTATTATCAGCCTTTTGAGTTAGTGTTCACTGATCTTTGGGGACCAACACATGTTGCATCCAAAGGGTTTAAGTACTATTTGACGTTTGTTGATGCTTACTCGAGATATACATGGATTTATTTTCTGCAAAACAAAGCTCAAGCTATCTTGGTGTTTCGATTATTTCAGAAGCTAGTGCTGAATCAATTTGGTGCTGCAATTAAATCAATCCAAAGTGATTGGGGAGGAGAGTACATGAGTCTGTCTCGGGTCTTGCTACAAGAAGGGATTGATCATATGCTTTCATGCCTACACACTTCTGAGCAGAATGAAGTCATAGAAAGGAAGCACATACACATTGTTGAACTAGCCTTGGTATTGTTAGCACAAGCCTCTATGCCAGTGTAATACCGGTTTTATGTTGCCATGACTGCTATGTATTCCATTAACTGATTGGCAACGAAAGTGTTAAATAGGGTGTCTCCTTATGAAAAGCTACTTGGTAAGAAACTGGATGATACTTTGGTGAAAGTAATTGGTTGCAAGTGTTTCCCTCATTTGAGGCCATTTCAAACTCACAAAATTGAGTTTATATCTCAAGTGTGTACCTTCTTGGGGTATAGTTCACAACACAAAGGCTATTTGTGTCTTGCATCAAGTGGGGGGATCTATGTCTCTCGACATGTAGTCTATGATGAGAATGTATTTCCATTTGCAGGGCTATCTAATAAATCTTCTACAAGTGAGCAGTGACAGAAGCTATGGAAACTGTTGATGGACTACATGGTGCTGTGCAGGATATTTCAGGAGGGGAGTCACTTGGAGAAACTGATGCATCTGCTTCTTCAGGAAATGTTGATGAAGGGTTGACTTCTGGAAGTCAATCTGAGGTGCACAGTGATGCTAATAATGTGCAAAATGATGGTGTTGTACAAGACACCTTACTCTCCAATGCTGATGGTGGTATTGTTCAAGAGCCATTGGTGCTTATTGTACCTGC